TTTCCACCAATGTCCATTCAGAATATGGAGTAGTAGGCTTGTTGTAATCAGACTCCACTATGTTCCAGAGATCGAATCCTATCGATTGAAGGTAGATCTTCATCCTACACTTCCAGTAGTTGTAGTTGGAACCATCGAAAAGTGGTGGTCTTTGAGTAGAATGTCCTTCCTTGAACTGTGATGTAGATGATGTAGCCATTGTTATTCTTGATCAACCTGCTCTGATACCAATTGAAGGATCGCTGCAATGGCATTCAAACACTAGAAGGGGGGGTTGAATAGTGTTTATGAAATCTAATGCGGAAACTTTAAATTTCAATAAAATAATATCACAAAGAGTAAGAAAGATCAAACCAATGTGTAGACAATCACAGAAAATTGCATACGCAAACACAAGGATTTATACTGGTTCGGTCCTCCAGACCTACATCCAGTCCCCAAGCCTCGCTTGAGATTTCTCCACTATTTCCACTTGCAAAACCGCAAGCACTTGCAACCCGCAAGCAAACCGTACAACCTTGACAATCTTCAATTGCCAATGCCACAACAATCTCTTCTTTCAAGAGATTATCAAACTGAAACAAAATGGTACAACTCTTTCTCTTCCTATAAGCCTTGATGTGTAGATGTGAGTGACTTACAATAGGCTATAGGGATGGTTTTTGTTCTAGAGTAATGGAACTTTTATCAAGAACAAAACTGAAATTTTCATGCAGTTTTTCTCTTCAAAATGATCTTTAGAAGTCAAGAAAAACTCAAGTTTATATAAAGGAATTCATTAATAAAATTTCAGAACTTAACACCTATTTATAGGTATAATTTTCGTTCAAAAATATTCAAAAATAACTGCCAAAAACGTTCACAAAACGTTCATGTTATTTGAAAAATATAGCTGTTGGAAGCACTGTCTGGTCGACCATATTGAGGCCTGGTCGACCAGACAGAGAAATTTTGGAATTTTCTGTCCAAGTCTGTAGCCTCTGGTCGACCAGGTCCATATCTGGTCGACCAGACAGAGAAATTTCTGAATCTCTGTATCTGGTTATTATATCTGGTCGACCAGACATTTCTTTGGTCGGCCAGAAACTATGTTATACATATTTTCAATAGTTTAAAATGTTATTCATTCATTGATTAGACTTAGGATTATACTTAGAATATTTTCTATGATTTTCTAAGTGATTAGTGTGTTGTGTGTGTGATCAAGGCTTGTACAAAGATTCTAAAAGAAAAGACAAAATTACATCACTCTTGTAAAGTATATTTTCTTCTTGAAGCGCGAAGTGACTTAATTAACTTCATCTTTTTGATCTTTGAAATCTTGTCTTTGATATAGCCTTAATATCTTGATTGTTGCTTTGAGATGTATATCTTAAATCTGCAGTAAAATATGTTAGATAAACAATGATTTGTTATCATCAAAATACAAGAGATATTGTAACATTAACCATGTTCCCAACACGTTTGACTGGTTCAAAAGTCATCTGAATGGTTCTAAAATCATTTTCCACGTAATGGGGCCATTAAGCCACCATTATGGAACGATTTAAGGGGTCAGTTACACCAATTAAACTCTATAAATAGCTGAGAATCAGCTAAAATGGGATTTTTAGAGAATTTGCCTTGAAAGCTTTTAAGAGCTTTAAGAGCATGGTGAAACTAGGAGGAGGAGCCTTTAGACCCCTTTGGGGAGGAACCTTTAGAGCCTTTTAGGAGGCTAAAGGTCAGAACCTCTAGGGCCCCACGAGGGAAAACCCTAGAGAGGCTTCTAGAACCCAAGCAAAGAGGAAAGCTAGAGAGGCCCTGGGGGAAACCCTAGCTAGAGACTTCTTGAAACCTTAGCAAGCAAGCGGTACTTGGAACTGATCCTTGCAGATCTCAGGAGTTTCCATCTCTCTCCAACCAAAATGGGATAGTTGATCCTCTCAAGATATTGATGTTGAAAGTTACAATTTGACGACTTCAACAACAACGGATGAGAGTTATAACTTGACGACTCTCGTATCTTCAAAAGCCAGAGTACAAGGGTTACAAGATGATGACTTTTGTATTCTGAGAAGACTTGATGCAGAGGTAATGCAGAGATTACAACTTGACGATGTATGCATCTCTGAAGCCAAACGTGACCTTCGCGTTTCATCAAACAAACACGACCCTCGCATTTCATCAAATGAACACAACCCTTGCGTTTCATCAACAAAACACGACCCTCGCATTTCATTAACTAAATGCGGAGTTCACCGTACGTTCAAAAGTTAAACGCGAGGCACACCTCCGTGTATTGAAGCTAAACACGAACCTCGCGTTTTGACTATTTCAAATCACTTGAACGGTTACCCACTTAATAGGGCAATTAATCCCCATTAAGGAGCAATTTAAGGGGTTAGTTACACCCTTTAAACCCTATAAATAGTTAGTTTGACAGCTTGAGGATTGATTTTTTTTTTTTTTTGCTTTTGTGGAAGCTTTATTGGAGCTTTTGGCTTGGCTCTTTGAACCATCTTCGGTTGAAGAACTTGGAGACTGACTATTGTCTGATTTCGGTTCCAAAATTAACTCTTTTATAGAGTTTTTTTAACACGTTAAGAGTTCTAAACTTGCCTCACAAGTTCTTCCCGACATCAAGTCAAGAGGAATAGATGAATGTTCCGTGAAGGGAAGTGCTCGGATCATCAACGGGATACAAGATTCAAACTCCCATCGCCACCTAGAAGAACCCAATTTTAAACAAAGAGAAGGATCTCTGTTGACTTCTTATCTCTTTTGTAAATCAGGAAATCGATAAAGAAGAATTGTAAATTCTTTTTCTAAGTCAGTTAGAGAGAAGTTACAGTGAGAGATTACATTCATTCTTTTTCTAAGTCAGTTAGGGAGATTAATACAATTTTAATTCTCAATTTTCTTTCAATTATCTAACAAACAGATCTTCGACGTATTTGGGAGAAGTCACCCAAATAAAACATTCTCCTGTGGAATGACGGTCGAGACTCCTTTGATGTTTGTGGTTGCAGAATCGGGGTTGGTGACATCTTCTAATACATTCATTGGACATGTCTTTTCTTAAGATTGTTGACGAAATTGCTTATGGCCGGAACATATCACAAGGTGTGCGAACTACCGAGGAGTGTAATCACTGTCCTTAAAAAAAGATTTCGCCCATCCTCAATGCAAAAGGCTACAGTTGCGTCTTTCCTCACAGGATTCAACGGCAGACAACAGGTTAAGGTGCACTCCAATAACCTGTTCTATAAAGATTAACAAAGATCTCTCTTTCTCTCTGACAGGAAGGAAAATAGAGCATAGAAGGTTATCAGTGTTGCAACTGAGGAGAACAAGTCTCAATATCTATTTACCCTTTAAAAGAGCCAGTTCCTGAAAAACTTTCTCATTCCCAAATTAACCTTCAACCAAATTAGATATACCTAATTTCTCCCACTGTTACAGAAAATTCGTCATTAACATCGGGAATTTCACACATCAGTTACGAATTCCTCTCCGCCGTAGCCGAAGAGTTCATCGTTTTACCTTCTCCGACGAAGCCGAAGCGTTTGCAAAGGTGATTATTATTCATAGCTTACCCTTCTCAGCCGAAGCCGAAGCGTTACAGAGATTCTCAAAGCTCAGTATTTGTTCAGAAATTCCGAATTCATCCCCAAAATTTTCAGATATTGGGCATTCAGGAAGGTATTTTTTCTTCATCTTCACTCCTCTATACAAAACCCTAACTCTATGCTTTAGTTTTGCTCAATTCAATCTATCCCCTTTCAGTTCTTCAGACCTTTAATTTTGTTATAATTTTGACCTAATTTTCGTTTTCCTACAGTTTCAATCGACAATGGTTTAAATATTCCAGCAGTAGCTGTATCTGTTGTGATTTCTTTCCTAAATTAGGTATTTCTTGTTATATACCTGCTTTTCATTCAAATTTTACTGAAGTTATTGTTACAATACGCTCATGTTTTGATTTACATTCTTTAATTTACAATAGATCCAGATTGTCTCATGTTAAAAGGGTGCTAAATCAATTTTAATTGCATGTAACCTGTTTTTTAATTTTTTTTCTAACTATATCAGTTTTTCTCCAATTTCTGGTGAATAATGAGTTGCATGTCCTCTTTGACAGATGTTTTAGGTTTAGGATTTTGTTCTGGAAACTTCACTAAAAATCCTAATCTACTGTGAGTAAGAAGTCATACCAAAAAAAAAGTTGCAGACACATATAACAAAATGCAACGTACTAATGCTCTAAAGTGATGACATGTTTGCATGATGCGGGCCTTTCAAGGTTTATGTTAGATAATTAATACACCACAATGTTAAGTTTTTAGTTTAAGGACCAAGTACTTTCCAGACAATCAGGCATCCAGCCACATACATAGCGAAGATTAAATTCTGATTATCAATATGCCAATATTAAATCATATACATGTGCACATCATGTACTCGGTTAGACCCTATATATTGTTTATGCCTTCAGTAGAGAAACAGAATGTTTTTATAAGATTAAATATTGATAAAACCTCCTCATCTATTTCAGTAGTCCCTCAACTCGTTTAAGTTACCTGCAAGGTTTTGATTCTGACTCCATTTTGAGTACCATGAAGTGTAATTGTATCCATGAAAACATTGCTGAAACGGTCCCTGGAGTTATTAGCATCTAAACTTCCAATGCTATTCACCATAATAAAACACAACAGTGTAAATATTGTGTGTTAATCTTCACCTTTATGCAGCTTGAGAATATCTCATTTTCCCTGTATTGATTCTGAACAAAGTCTATCTATGCAAACATGCTTTCCTGAAATTAAGCAACATACCAAAATTCCGCTTCCAATTATAACCCAAAGTCATTCCAGTTCAACCTCATAATAAGTTTTTTCTCCAATTTCTTGTGAATAATGAGTTGTATGTCCTCTTTGACAAATGTTTTAGTTTCAGGGTCTTGTTCTGTAAACTACACTAAAAAGTTTGTTCAGTGCGTAGCGTGCTTTACTTGTTACATGTGGATATTACATATTTGATATTCTTTAGTGTGCTTAAGAGTAAGTGTGTGCAATACAGGTTCCCCAAATGTTCTTATTCTGGACACTTTAGGCTACTTGACTGCAACAATGCATATCCATGTAATATTAACTTTTGCTTTAATCTTGATCTGTTATGATCAAGCTATGAGATTTCCATAGCATGCCAAAAATTATATCTAAAGAGACAGAGAAACCAACTTACCCCCAGCTCTTGTCCATCAATGTTCAACTTAGTTAGCAGACGTAGAGCTCGAAGAATTCCTTCAGCAGCTTCAAATTCACAAAAGCCAAAACTTGTAGGAGAGCCATCAGAGGGATTTTGAGCACGTTTCCAACTCTTCACTGGTCCACAAAGCTTCAAGAGAAGACAAATTAGGAGTACGAAAATTTCCAGATTTAAGCACATAAAAAAGATAAAGAGAGACAATATCAACAAATAAAACATGAATCATAGTCGCCTTTTGTTACAAACATCTAATAGCATAAAGGTTACAGTCTTACAGATTTACTAAAGTTTGTTCAGTGGAACTTACTCGAAGAAGAGAGAGGAGAAAATCATTATCAACAGTTAGAGCTATCTTGCTAACATACACTGTTGTTTGTGGTTTCTCAGTTGCAACAGCAGGAACAAAGGGCCTGACAACTGGAGAAACCACAGGAGGACCACGAATTCCAGGAATAGGAGGTAGAAGAATTTGCGGAATCACACCCATTGGAGGCAGCGGACGAGGAGGAAAGCCAGGGCGAATCATAGGTGGGTATGGTCCAGGATAACGAGGAATTCCTGTAAAAAAAAGCAAATAACTATGCGCGTTTGTCAGAACATATTCACAAACCAAATAACTGGTTAGTCAGACCAAACAAATCAGAAAACTGGGTGATATTCAACAATACACCCATTAATCCAACATCAAATCAAGTAACCACATCTCAACATAGTATCTTAAGCATTAAGAAGATAAAGGTGGAGAAGGATTGATCAAGGGCCCACAAAAAAAACATGAATGTTTTTTAATTTTAATTTCATTTACAAATTGGTTGAAGGATTTTAAATGATTTTTTTATATGCTTTTAACATTATGAATTGATGAATTTAATTTGTTAGGACAATTTATGATTTATACGCATATGCTCATATAGTTGTTTTATAATTATTGAATGCTTTGATTGTTATTGCAATTATTAACTTAAATTTAACATTCAATTATGTGAATATAAATACATATTCAGAGAATAGTTCACTTTATTACTTTAAATTTTCATGTCAACTATTTTTTACTTATCTATACTGCACACAAACTATTGTTGATGAGTCATTTGCAAGATATATGATGACCAAGCACAACTTCCTGAACCTGTTGAAAGGAAACAATAGCTTTCTATAAAGAAGGTAGCTTATTTTACAAAATTGTTATTGTAAATTATTTCTTTTAGTAGCCCAAATTTATTTGTTTCTGTTTTATGACATGACCAGGTTCTCAGTGTTTTTAAAAGAATAATCAATGAAGATTGCCTACTACTAGGTTTCATACCGAAAGATGATCGTCCGGATTGAATGATATTACAACTTCTTCCTATTCAATCACCTACTGTAAGACCATTTGTTTTGATTGACAGCTCTGCTAGAAGTGAGATAAGTTTGTTATGTTTCACAAAATGAGGGATAACCTGTATAGCGTTACAAAACCATTGCATCACAAATTTTTTTCCTTTTTACTACAAACTATTCATGCTTGAAGAATTATATCTTATTCACGGAATTTTTTAAAATATATGCAGTTTGTCTCATGTTAAAGGAGTGCTAAATCCAGTTTCAAAGAATTTTCATTTATTTCTAGCATTTGATGGCCTGAAATTCATTGTTGCTACTTTTTTGTTTGACAAATTGTACCTTTGTAAAACACTCAAGGTTAACTTCCTGCCATGAAGGTTATGCCTTTACGGAGTAGAACAAACCCCCTTCTATAAGGCATGATATAGATAGTTGAAGTGAGAGGCTTGAAAGTCCTTACTGTTCAACATTTCCAACATACTATGGGTTACAACAAGAAATAAAAAATTTGATGTTACTAAATTCCTTATAAAACTGTTGCATTATATGCTCAGTTTATTGAACTAATAGCTGCATTATTTCACTATTCTCAGAAATATACTGAGGCTAGCATGTTGTTTTTGGCTATTCTCATGATTGATGTACATATTTGGTATGAAAATGTTTTCTGAGGATGCAAGTAAACATGAATATAATAAAATGTTTACAGTTATTACTTTGCTTTCATTCATAAGGCATACATATTACAATTGTTTGGTTGTATTCGTGTTATCTGTGTCTTGCTGAAGGTAGCGGAAAATACACGACTACAATATTAGCATTTCCTTCTAATGAATTCTTAAGAGTTGGCATTAATGTGTCTGTTATATACCACAGTAGCTCATGTTATGCAATAAAAATAACATCGTTCTTATGTTTGTGACCTCAGATATGGGTGGTAGAGAAGGAAGTGGTCACTCGAGTTTCCCTCATGTTGCACTCAATGAGCGTATCCTTTCATCAATGTCGAGAAAGTATATTGCTGCGCTCAACCATGGCATGATTTAGAAATAGGTTTGCACTAGCCTACAAAATTAAAATCTGGATTATTTTCTCCCTTTATATATTATTTTCATTTTGTTTTCTCACCCTCTTTTCAATTTTATATTTGAATTTGTTTCTCGTGTAACTACTTCAGGAACCATTTGTATATTTTAGTGTTTCTCCTCCCCTTTGTGGTTATTTTACTTGTCTAAATGACTGTTTACATATGATGTAGGACCTGGAGCAACTGCAGTTTTCAACTGCGTAAGTTACTTTTCATAGTTATGATGCGACTTTCAATTGTGCAAGCTATTTTTCAACTACTCTAAAAGGTTTTAGCTATTAGTGGGATTCAGTATTTTGTTCTAAAAGTATTAGTATATATTTATCTTTACAATAACAACTATTTATACTTTGCTTCTTAAATTATGAGCTACTTTGCATAAAAGTACGTGGAACATCTGTTTTTACTAAATTTGTTTTTAAAAGTTTGCTATGTTTGTTCCTCAGTTTAATTAAAAAGGATTTTTTATAAGCGTCAAAAATGATTTTAAGTGGTCAGGGGTAAGTTTAATTAAAAAGGATTTTTTATAAGCGTCAAAAATGATTTTAAGTGGTCAGGGGTAGTTTTTGGATTCTTGAAAGTTGAACACGTGATCTATAAGCGTCAAAAATGATTTTAAGTGGTCAGGGGTAGTTTTTGGATTCTTGAAAGTTGAACACGTGATATGTAGAACATGTTTTTTAAACTTATTAAAAACATTGCATATTGTTTTTACTTTTGCATTTTTACAAATTTGTTAATCAGATGAGTTAGGAAGAAATTTAAGTTATGAGGATAGTTCCGGGCATTTTAAAATTGACACACATGACCAAAAGCAAGACTGGTCTCAAATATATATATAGTACGAGATATGTCAAGTTAAGAAAGCATGTAATATTCAAACTCAATAATTGACACACATGTAATATTCAAACTTGATTATGTGCTTTGAATCTGTTTTCTTTTCGTTTATGACTTTGATTCTACCTTTTTTGCTTTTACCTGACAAATATTCTTTGTGCGCTTACTATTTTGTAACAGAGGTACTTCGTGATCTCAAGATCTCCACTTCAAGGAGGCCTTCGAGCCATGCGAGAATCTGAGGTAGTTTATACAATCTTAGCAAACTTAGCAAACCATGAGAATGAAAGCCCATGGAGATATCTTCGAGGCTTGTACCAAGGCAAGACTGAACTTTTAGGAATTGATAATCAAATCCAAGAAGTTTGTCTCAAGATCTTGAAGACAAATCAGAACTCCGTATTTGCTATCAGCCTTCTCTTGGATCTCCTTTGCAATGGCTTTCAGCCTTCTGGTAAATTGAGGGGTGTTATTGCAATTTCAAGAAATCTTTAAGCCGGATCTGCAAATTCTAATTTAGCGACGAGCATTTGCTCTATTTTAGAGGCTGTTGCTCCTATGAGATTCAACTATTGAGAATGACGCAGGAGCCGTATCTCTTCTCAGGTTTGTTGAGGTGGTCAGGAACCTGTACTGGTATTCATTACTTTAGCTGTTCTTTATGGGCTTCTTCGATGATTCAGCGATTAATATTTGCTCGTTGAGCGTTGACTTTTTAAACATTGAAATTTAAATGTGTATGTTCATGGAAAATACGATTGGACTTGGGGATATAATTTAATACTCATATGTAGCAGCATTAATTTGAAATGTGGTTTTATTATTCCTGACTATCGTACGCGAGTTTATTTATTGGATGAAGTTGCAAAGCCTAAATTAAGTGTTTTGCCTTATTGTGCTTGTGGTATGTCGCCATTGACCATTGTGGAGGTTGAACTCGCACAAAGTGTTTTACCTAAACGTAAGTTATATCAATGTGTAGCTTATATCCTATTATAATAGAAGCTAGATTGCAGCCTTATGTTTTCAGTGAGTGGGAAATTTTTTTTTAGCATATTGAGTCTATTAACTATTGAGCATGTTTAACGTTGGTTTTACTTATAAAGAAGTCTACTGAATTTTTTTTGTAGCATATTATGAAAATAACTTATCTGACATATATTGCTTCTGTATATTTTTGAAAGAGGTTTTTGGATATATACACTTAAGTCATGGGAACTTGTCAATTTACCCCTCAAATCATTTACTTTTAAATTTGCCCTTCAAATTGCTCTTTCGTCAAGTCCCCAAATCATTATATTTTAAATTTGCCCCTCAAATTGCTTTCTCTCCTAAAGTTTACATTCCATGCTAAATTACGTCAAAATGTTCTTTACTGGTAAATTACATTTATCTACCCCAATTCAATTTTTTTTAGAAAAAAACAGCAATAAATCTAAACAAGTTGTTTTATCAAGGTTGGAACAATATATGTTTCTTTTATCATGTCACAAAATTTAAAATCACATGAGCTCCGTAACATAAAATCATATTTCCATCTTTTACTATATTACTTGCAATACAATTTATTCATATGATGTTATACTGATACTTTTGCAATACATTTGGTGTATCCCTTCTCAAATATCAAATTGCCATGTAGACATGCATATGCATCTAATCTCCTTTCCTGAATCCTCACAAGCATGGTTTTAGGTGTCGTCCAACAAGAAGTAGCAAAGAGCAGATTACATCCTGCACGTTAGCACCTTATCATATAATACTGCTTGTAACATATGTTTAAATCTGCTTGCTATAAGCAACTTGTTTATGACCATGTAGGAAAATGAAAAATAACAAATAGTAGTTTCTGTGTGATCAATAAGACAATAACTTGCTTGATGAAAAAAACAAGAATATTCCCTCTAACAAGCAATTTTTTAAAAATTTTGTAGACTTCTTAATATGTTTGTGAAAGTTTCTATGATGTAAGCCATTGAGCTTTAAAAAAAACAAGAAGAAAATATAAACAAATGTAGCTCCTATAAATTTATTGGACAAGACCATACTAGAAATGCATGCATCAGTGCAATCAGGAGATTGTTCTCCAAAACCATTGAATGGTCCGACATCAACTCAGAAGTACAATCAGTTAAATACAATAATGTTTAGATTATGTCTATATTATTATCAATTACTTAAATTACATAACTTTTTAACAAAAAATTATAAATAAAATTAAAAATTTAAAACAAAAAAAATGAAAAAATAACCACGTGCATTGCACGTGCAATCCAACTAGTATAGATAAAAATTAAAACTGTAGGAAAACCAAAGGTTGAACCTGTTGGAAACACCAAAGGCTGAAAAACATTGGGAACACCAAAGGTTGAAAAACGTTGGGAACACCAAAGGTAAATAGACGTTGAGAACACAAAAGGTTGAAAAACGTTGGGAAAACCAAAGGTTGCAAAATATATAACAAACAACCTACCTCTTTTTCCAATGTGGGACTAAAATTTTTTGCCTTTGTGTATTTGAAATACACAACATAAACTTTTTAGAGGTTGTTTCAAAGCCAGCCAAACCTTATAGGGGTCTGGTGAAATATACCGAAAACACTATCACTTGCACCATATTACATGCACATAGCTAGCACCAACAACAATGCAATAATTAAGCTAAATTAGGGCTCAAATACAAGCACATTTATTTTGAAGACTCAAACTTTGCAATAGCTAAAACAAGTACAAATTTATCAGAACATTCGCATACAACACATTTCTAAACCATTCGCAGGGTGCAAACTAACATTTGAAAATATTAACTGTTCTCTTTCTGCGAAATTGTTATTTATTATAGAAATGTTCTAATAAGATTTGTATTGAGATCAACACGGATAAGTGCACAAACAGATATGGGGTTCATCAGGTGCGCAAGATCCAACCCCGTTCTTGGCAGTTCGGCAGGTGCGATTGCATGAATTAGTGTCACAAGGACCAATCGTCAAAAACTTCATGCGGCATGTAGCTGAACTGACACCTGTCCGTTTCACAAATCCATCGTCAAAAAATTTCAATGCTTTAGTATGGAATTTAATTTTATTGTGAGTGAAATATATTTTGTTATAAGTTTCTACACTTTGATGTATACACACCTGCAGAAATTTACATGGTGGAATTTAAAAATAGTCCTGCACGATATTTTGCATTTAAGAATGGTTTTAGAAGTAGATGGGTTTACAAATAAATGTGAGTAAAACCTTATTTTTATATTGATGTGTTACCTAAAATTCTACCTTATTTTTTTATTGATCCCCAGCTCTTCCTATTTGTATTTTATAACCCCATCTATATTTGTAATTTATACCTCCAAATCAATCCGTTAAAGCATTTTAGGTAGCACACTTATCCCTGACAAATTTGAAGATTTATGGGTGTAAACAAATATGAAGATCGAGGATCTTAGGGGATGTTTGGCGATTCGAAAGCGAATTGAAAATGAGTAAGTTACTTTTCTTTTGCAAATAACTTTCACATCCACATTAGCATATAAGTGAAATATAGTATTTATTCAAAAAAACTAAATTATTGTCGAAAGTACTAGGTGAAGATGATGTAGCAAAATATGGTTTATTAGCAAATTTAGTTAAAAATATTTAATATAATTTAGTTATTATTTTTATCATTTTTATGTGATTTCGCGGCTTTTTTAGGGGAAGTTAAAATTATACTAAATCCTATGTGACAACTTTCTAACATCTCACTTTTATAATCACTTGCATGCCAACTAACACGTAAATTATTTTAAAAAAAGTCATTTTCTCACTTTTGTTTTTCACTTTACATGCAAACAAACATCCCGTTAATACAAAATAGAATAGAATTCTGGACCAAATATGAAAAACTCTCTTAAATAGCTGGATAAATAAAGATAATGCAAAGAACTTATTTAATCCTTACTTATAATGGATGAAAAAGTTATGTTTACCTTGATAATGGAGACAGAAGAAAGCAATGAGAAAGAAGATAACAAAAAGCTTCATATTAGATTCTCTCGTGAGTTTGAATGGTTTCAATCCTTTGGACTTGGGGAATAATAGAGAAATGAAGAATTTATAGATGTAATAAGGATAGGTTCCTAGAAAAGTTTACCAATTGATGCATCCCCTCTTATGCAGATTTTAGAAACCATTTATTTACCAATAACTATATTCCATTTATGAATAATTTTAAATTTCTTTTAGTCAAAGGGTTAGAGAATGAGAGAGATAGAGATAAATAGGCAAATCATAAAAAATATTAATCAAAGTAATCCATGGACTATTTTGGATATTTTTAATAAATATCTATATCTGACTGGATATGGTTACATACGCAAATATAGAGTGAAATGTCTGGATCTTTTGAAATATCTAAATAAATGTTGATCATACAGTTAATTATAATAATTTAAAGATTGAATCTTAACTTTTCAAATATAACAAACATACTAACGAACTCTCTCATATCTTATAACCTAAAAATTTTTAATCTTTTCTGTTTTCTCGTCACTACTTTGCTTATCCACATATTTCTCTTGTTTTATCTGAAGTCACATCCACATTCGTAGTCACCTTTGACGAACGTGGACTTTATTGGATCAAACACAAAATTATATAATAAGATAATAAACTATGT